GCTTTTGGGGATATCGCGTCTTCTTGTGGTACTCCTTTGGCAGTTGGCAACAATGCGGTTGTTTTATATATCATTACTCTTGATGTGGCATTGTATATATTAGCGAGAGTTTCTATATAAGGCCTCTCAATATCTTGATTTGCTTTATTATGGACTTCTATTATTGCTTTAAGATATCGAAAACATTCTTAAAGTGTATGTTCTTTTGTTCAGCTGATAGTTTCTCTTAGTGTGTGTATGTGATCAACCGTGCTGTGGCCGCTTCTAAAGCCCGCTTGTTTTCTTGGTTGTGCGTTTAGCGTGTTTTGTATCAGGAATATATGTGTGTAAAAATAAATAAAATGAAAGTAAATTTCATATAAATCGAATGCACAAAGACACAAACCGTAAAGGATATTATCATCATTCCATATTGTAAAGCGACCTCAACGTCCGTTCTTTTGCCAAAGGAACTAACTATCCGATGCAGCCACGGGTTATCTAATCCTATTCCGGGACAATAACAATTTCCATTGGGGTGCTGCGCGCTAGATAGCGAGCTATATTTGATATTTTCCGGTATAGTTTCTATATTATCTACCGCTTACGTTGCCGCTAAGTAATGAAGAGAGAAGTGGCTAATGAAATGGCGTGATTTCGTCTAACGATACGGAATGAAACCGGAAATTTGATAAGCTACACTGAGAGAAAAGATTGTAGTTAAATTGATATCAAAATTTTAATTTAAAATGACAATATATAATCTTGTTCCTGTTAATTGCTGTAATTTTTAACAGTATTAACAGATACTATTAGATATTGTATTATTATTAGCAGTTTCTGTTAAACCTTTGTGCCAAAAAAGTCCAGATTTATTATTGCAGTTTAATAAGAGACCTTTTTTACGTAAAAGATGGCGCGAATGTATATTTTTTCACTCAGTAATTTAATACAGGTACGGACGAAAAGTTATACGTCCGTAGGTGGCGCCCTCTACAAGAGACATATTGACTACAAATTAAAATAAGTAGAAATAACTTTGAAAATGGTATAATGTGCTTACCAATCAAACTTACTTCTCTGACTGCAGTGAAGGATAATAAAGCACTTTTATTGTCACGTTCTCGTTCAAAATAATTTATCAGGAAAGCTGTAAGCCCTTGCTTCAACTGTTTAAATGCTTCGGCATGTTTTCAACACACAATTTCAAGAAATACAACACAAAAACTCGAAAATTTAATTCCTAAAAGAACTGTTTATGCTTAAAAATACCTACAATTTAAAAAAAATACTATGAAAATCGGCAAAAACGAGAATTAGTCGCAAAGATTCAACAACAGCACTATATTATACAAAATAACGACTGACATTATCATAATTGCCAAATATTAGACGACAACGTTGCTGATCGCGGTGCAATGTGACCAATATGGCTTTAAACCTTTGAATGAACTAATTTTTCAAGCATTAATCTAAATAAAATAGCTGTTGCAACATATCAACGAAGTATCTGTCACAATCATTGATTTGCTCTATAAAGTAAAATGAAGAGATGCTCAGTATCTCAATGATGTATATGAAATTATACAGCAAATTTAAACATTGTTGCCAAAATTTCATTTAGTCAGGTTTATCGGCTTTAGTGTCAATTTCGATATCATTGATAACATGCATTTCGCCATTCGCCATTGGCTGTGGCATTGAAATGTGTGTAAGAGTACCAAATTTCAGTAAAAATGGTTTACCAATGTTCTTAAAAATAAATAAGATATTTTATTTTTAATACTGCCTAGTCTGGCTGAACACCACGGTCGGGTCATGACAGTTTTCGAAAAAATTTAGAGAATTTTTTTGATTGGTTGGGAGCCTCATTAAGAACAGCATCATTAAGACACACGTGTGAAAGTTGCACAACGAGTGCGTAGCACGAAGCTCTTAACTCAAAGTGAGTTAAGAGCTGTTTAACTCATTGACGTAGATAAATTATTTTACACATCCTAGAAATATCATAAGCCTAGTGAGTCACTAGTAAGAAATGTCCTAATACGAGCTTACAGTATCGCACCATTGAAACTTAACCGACCCTAACCAAAAACCTCAAAGCTATGTCGCGACAGTATAGTTACCGCTCTTTCTTAGACCACATCTTAGCGGTTAAGGGTTAAATCGAACCCTTAAATTTACTGATTTGAGTTTTCCTGCTCACTCAGTATTCAAAGCGAAACCCTTCTCACATTCAATAAATATCTAATAATGTACGGCACGGTTTCACGTCTATCTCACTGCCCCAATGAGTTATGTTTATCGAATAATGTAACGGGTAGTTTTACCCTCGGTTTTGCCTGGGCAAGGGCAGTTACCTGGGCATCGGTTCCTGTGGCGATTTATATTTGCATGTGCCGCTGGAACACCACTCGTTCGCGACCTGTTTCTTTGATACATCGAAATCGGTCAGAATGAAAAATAGACCCGATTACAGAGGGGATAAAAGCGAGTTACTGTATGCACAAAGGGTGGTGGAAATGGATAAAAAAAGTGATTAAAAATAAACCAGAACATTTTTTATCAAAAAAAAAATGTTCTGGTCTTCAGGCGCCACCTACATATTTTTTAACTGGTTTGATCAGTAATAACTTTTGGTCCGAACCTGTATATAGAACTACTAAGCCAAAAAATATACATTTACCACGTCTTTTACGTAAAAAAGATCTCTTGGTAAAAATCGCTACGAGTAATGATTTTCGATATATTTGGAATCGAAATTATGAAATTAGATCATGGACATAAATTAAACATGTTGACTAAATAGTTATCAGACTGAAATCATAAATTTGAAATTATTTTGTGTCAAAAGTTCAACAAAAACTGATTTATCATCATTTTTTCGAAGAAAAATTTATGATTAATTAAAAAAAAAATTGCATGTTATTATGCATTTTAAACATGCTCCTTAGACCTAGACTAGGATCTTCATCACCGACGACAAAGTATCGCATCTCCTAGAGGAAGATAAATAGTGAATTAAATTAAATTTTGATTTTGTTTTATCTCTATAGATCTATTCAAAGTTCCTAATGTCATGACAAAAACTATTCATAAAAAATAATATTAAAATTATTTATTTATTTATTTATTTATTTATACCCCTAACAAACAGAATATGAACAATTGTAATTAGAGTGGAACACACTTAAACTTAAAATTAACAAAAGAAAGAAAATAAACAGACATAAACAGATTTAAAAGACAACTAGTTAATAAACAAAAAAACATAAAGAGGAGATAAGGACGTTACTAAAAATTAAAATGACTCCTCAAATAGGGTGGTTAAGGCCGATTTTATAATACCTAGATGTCTATAAGGAAAGTGATCCACTAGATTATCACATTTACCTAGAAAACTATTGCACTGGTCCAACATAATTCTAAATGGTGAACAATCTCCACACTCAGTAAAAAAGGGTTTAATATTATTCACTCTCAGTCACACTTCAGGAACACATATGCTGATACATATAATTAATTAAGAATGAATCTTTATATTTAAGGTTGTTAGTTATACACAAAATAAATAAGATTGCCTGTCTTATTCTTTTACTTTCTAATGACACAAATCCAAAAGTATTGAGCATGCTTCTGTACGAGATCAAATATGGATATCGATGGTTTTTTCTGACATAGAGATATTTTAGGAATCTCTTTTGAACTTTTTCTATTTGGTTATTATTACATAAGCTTCCGGGAACCACGCTACAGAAGCATACTCGAGATGTGGCCTCACTAACGCATTACACAACTTTACTATGCTCGATATATTGACAAAATTCTTTGAATTTCTTATCACAAATCCTAGTACGCTATAAGCTTTACTTATCATGTGATTGTAATGGGCATTAAACTTAAAATTTGACTGCATAACGACTCCAAGTTCCTTGAATTCGTCCTTTCTACACAAAATGGTGTCATCTACACAATAGTTGAAATTTATCGGTATGTGTCATTGCGTGAGAGTGGTGTAGAAGCATTTGTCTTTATTTGGTGCCATTCTATTAGTTATATATAACTTTATGTAACTTATACTTTTATTTAGTGACATTCTATTAGTTATATATAACTATTAGTTATATTATAAACATACTTTATGGATCGTCTAAATAATAACAAATTCAATAGGCGTAACTTATTCTAATCTATTAATCTACTTAACAGTACCTGGAAATTCCGAAATTTTCATATCCATGAAGACTCCGGAAGGTTTAATTTATATCCTTTGCGCTGTTGGTAACATAAAAATTGTGTTGTAATATTATCTATTTTAATTTTAATAAAGACCAATTTCTATGATCACCATATGAGAAAAAAATATTGTTTTATTTTCCTAGAAAAAACTTCTCCATGTGTTTGTTTAACACACAAGATTTTTAATATCCTTGATCGATTGCTAAAGAGCAGGAAATCTAAAAAATAATTTCTTAACAGGGCGAGTATTATTTTACCTTTAGACTTTTATTTTTCAGTTTTGTTACGTTTTATTGCTGTTATTTGTCTAGTTGAAGCTATTAATCCATGAAGTTTCCCAGTTTATATCTACTACCAACACCCAACCTTTAGCAGTTGTACTTCGCCCTTTGTTGTCAACCATAAATTTGATTTACTGTTACAAACTTACCCTATCAATTTTCTGTAGTTGTGAAAATGACTAACATTTGCTTTATGTTAGTGTATTAATTCAAAATATACTATTTCTTATGTTTCAAAAACATGGCTTCTAGTATTAAATCAACAATAATTATATTTGCAGAACTGTTGTTATTTTATAATAATTTGCAAAAATATAAACACAACAATTCACAAATTTTTTAACGTATTATCTAAAAGGCGACTGTTTTCCAAATATTAATTATATTTATTTGAAATTTACCATAAAGAATCAGATAAATACACTTAGTAGATACATAGACGAAAATATCTTACACATAGTATTTTTAACATTATTCTGTAAATAGTTCTTTGTATTTCAGGTGGCATGGCTTCGAGTAGACACTCAAACCATTCTTACGATACATAATCACGTTATCACAAAGAATCATCGTATAGGAGTGACTCACATAGAGTTAAAAACGTGGTACTTGCACATCAGGGAAGTTCAGGAATCAGATAAAGGGTGGTACATGTGTCAGATCAACACAGATCCTATGAAGAGTCAAGTGGGATACTTAAATGTAGTGGGTGAGTTGGTATATTCGAATAAGATATCTTTTTAATAATATAATCACAAAAAAATAACTTTATCAAGATCTTCATAATCTTAAAATACACGATACGCATTTCTTTTTTTTTGTGAATGAAGTCAAATATTTTTTGAATACTTTTGAATACAATAGGAAATATAGGCATATGTATACAATATGATTGACAATGAAGATCGCTGTCATTTTATATGTAAATGATAATATAGAGAAAATATTAAATAATTAATAAAAACATACGCATAAATATGCTAATATCTATATAATGTATACATTTTGTTCCCTTGAAATTTGTATCAAGTAAATAATGGTAATATTTAAATATAATAAAGTAATTTTTATTTTGTACTTTATATTCAAATAGTTTGTTATTTATTTCTTAGTTCTAAATTTTGTTTATAAAATTATATTAGACTTTCTTGGCTTGAACTGCTAATATAGAAATTAATTCCACGCTGTGTTCGACATAATGTGGATCAACCTGCTCTCACTACCGGTTTCGGGGCCCTACCCCATCATCAGGTGAGCTTGGGTCGTTTCCACAATATGTCGAGCACAGCGCAGAGTATATAAACACGACTTGTCGTAAAGTAGCGGTAAGATATTAAGTCCCGCATCGCGAGATAGCAGCCCGCGTGCAATGGTAGTACTTTCGTACCACCGAGGCAAAACTGTCGATAGTAAATAAAGGCTTTTTTCGGCTAGCCCAAATTATATAATGGAAAATAAATTTCTTGAATGGTACGAAAGTACTACCATTGCACGCAGGCTGCTATCTCGCGATGCGGGACTTAATATTTTACCGCTACTTTACGACAAGTTGTTTTTATATACTCTGCGCTGTGCTCGACATATTGTGGAAACGACCCTAGCTCACCTGATGATGGGGTAGGGCCCCGAAACGAGTAGTGAGAGCAGGTTGATCCACATTATGTCGAACACAGCGTGGAATTAATTTCTATATTAGCAGTTCAAGGCAAGAAACTCTTATATAATTTTATTATATACCTAAAAACTGCAAGAAATTTATTTTCCATTATATAATTTTGTTTGTTATACATATAAATATTTTGGTAGAAAATCTAAATCTAAATAATATAGATATTGCCATATTATACAGGGAGTTTCAAAAAACGTGTGTCATCTCTCGTGGGGATATTCCTCATGTAAAAATAATATTTATTTTTCATATCAACATAGGTCCGATTCTGCTTTGTTTCATAGCTATAGGGTGTTAAAATTTTAATATTTTTTCGATTTATTATGATTTTCAATTTATTATAAATAAAATATTGACGGTAAAAGTTACTATAAATGCGACATATTTTAAATCTAAAAAAGTGTCGATACAGGCACGTGCATATGGGTTATCACTGGAATATTTTTCTAAAAAATGCATGTACGCCACTGACTGTTTTTCTCCTGTTAGCGAAATAGTGTAAACTGTTTAATGTCGATTAAAAGTTATTTCTTCATATTTTGACGATTTCGGCCTCCTTGATGAGATAAACGCAATTTTATTAACTTGCCTTGATCCAAGTCTAATAGCAACCTTAAAAATGTTAATATTATTAACATGCGAAAGTTTTAGATAAGTGACCATTATTCCTTACCAAAAAATATGAAAAAAGTTCCTACAAACATTAGTATGAAAATGCATAGTTTTCTAGTTGCAGGATGTTAAAAAAATTTTAAATTATTTTTTTTTCTAATTATCTTAAATACCATTATTTTTTTGTTTAACATTGCTATAGGTTGAAATGATAGTAATAATAACTAATAATAATAATATTTAATAATAAATTAGGTAAAATATATAATATATTAATTTTATTTTGATTTTAATTTTATTAATTGTGATTAGTAAAATTGCGTTTATCTCATCAAGGAGGCCGAATTTAACAAAATATCAACAACTTTGAATTAGCATTAGACGGCCTATACAATTTTTATATCAAAAGAAGAAAGTCAGTGGTGCCCATGTTTTTTTTGAAAATTATTCCAGTGATAACCAATATGCACGTCCCTGATGAATTTATCGGCATTTTTTTGGCTCTAAAATATGTAGCATCATTAAAAGTACTTGGAAGGAAATGATAATAAATTGAAAGATTTTTAAGACTTTTACACCCTGTAGCTAGGAAACAAAGCAGAATCAGACCTATGTTGATATGAAAAATAAATTTTATTTTTACGTGAGGGATCTCCCCACGAGAGATGGCACATGTTTTTTAAAACACCCTGTGTAACAAGGACTATATCAACGAAAAAACCCTAAAAATCGTACTAAAGTTACCCCGGTTTACGGTAGATATTTTTTTAGAAATATGATATTATCCAAACATTATTCCAAACATTAGTATTTGGTTTAAGAGTTTGTTAACCCAAAGTTTCCAATAAAACCGAAACCCAAGCGAAAGCCAAGTCTAGTAATATAAATCTTTGTGGTTTACTGGCGCGGTTTAGAAAACACTGAATGCATTTGGCTACATTTCAGACGATCTTTAATAATTCTGTTTGCCTCTGGCGTTTCTGTGTGCACGTGTGTATGTGTTTGTGTGGGTGTGTGTATCCAAGCCGCAGCGGCCTTAATTAAGTTCTGGTAAATAAGTCGAATACGCAAAAGGAGAGGAAATTATTAGAGAGGTTGACGGATTTAGTGGAAGGTACTTTCCAGCGAAACCATCAAAAGGAATACACTGTGGAAGAAGTAGTGGGAGGAACTCATTAAATTTTAGAGCTGAGAATTCGGGCGGCTTGAATTTTATATAACTAGGATATAATTAAAGGTTGCCTCACACATAGAGTTTTTTCTCAAGGCAAAACTGCGCAGACGAGTCATGAAAGACAGGCGTATGCTTCATAATTGGTTGGAGTCAATTGTATACGCCATTAGCTGTTTAAAGTGTCCTAGAGTTTATTTTATTTTACTTACTACGTGAACTTCTCAGGGTATTAATTTAGAAACCAAGAGAGTTTTGATTTTGGGACATAGAAATTTCAATTTCCATATATTAAGATGTGTTAATATACCCATTATGATGTGTAATAAACAACAGGAAAATTTCCATGGATTTTCTCAGGGGGGGGGACAGTATTTCCCATTCTCCTCTGACAACAGATATTCCTTCATATATATTTCCTTCGAGAGTATATACTAGGGTGGAACGAAAAAAAATTTTTAGTTTGGTTTGGTTCCTCACGGGCATTAAATGCTGAGATATTTTGAAAAATAATTTTTTTTGCCCCTCAACATATTTGGTAATTATTTATCTTTTACCTTTAACACACTGCTTAATATGACTATAAAATATAACCCAATAATGTTATCCAAACTAAATCACTTAAATTATTGTTTTCCGTTTCCTCAATATATTTCGAACTTGTCCACCTGCATGATAAACTACCATCCGTGGCACTTGCCTGTGACAAAACTGGAGTTTCAGATCACGCTGTCGCTATAATCACAAATGCTGTTTTAGAGGATATTGGAGTAGTGTCTAAAAGCAGTTCTACACAGATAGCCTAAATAAACAACCAAACCAAACCAAACACCAATTTTCATACAAATATTTTCGTTACTTCAGAAATTATTTGGAAAAAATCGAAATAAAAATGAAACTTCTACACCCTGTATCTCCGAATGTAAGCATTTTAGGACATATATTTAAACGAACTTTTTTACTAATTTTTATCTCCAGAATATGCTGCCGAAGTTTCGGGAATACAGTTCGCACCAACCTGTATAGGTTTCAAAAATGTTTCCTATTTATGGCAGACCGTTTCCATTTTGTGTCAAGAAAAAGAGACACGATTATTAGAAATATTACCTAAAATGTGTTCAAAATGCTACTTGGGAGTACTGTCTCTTTTTATAACAAAACATTTTTTAAATGAAATAAGTTTATAAACAGTTCTACACAAACATTTTCGACTAAAAGCACAATAAATCCCACGGTTGCTCTCGGCTTCAACTGATTCCTGTAACTTTCAGAGCGTTAATCTATAAAGTTAAAGCTTTTGGCAACCGTCCCCAAAGCCAACTAACCAATTAAGCGCCGTGCGTGCGGACGGGGCCTAAACCGTTTACACAGCGCGCAAAAAATAAACCTGAGTCAATTAAAAGCTTAGCTAATGGAACCATTGTTATCACGTTCTAAATTAGATCATTGTTTGTTCCCGGTAATTAGTATGTAGAAAAAAAAATATTGTGGGGATTTGGAAAGGCTCAAAGGAAAACGATTATGTTTTTTGCGACGTTTTGCGACTTTATTATCGCTTCTTCAAGCACTAAAATATTAAGTATTCCAAATGCCTATAAACTAATTTGTACACTATAAATAGAAAAACTATAAGAAATATACAGGGTGACGCCTCTCATACGCCGTGGAAGCTCCAAGGAGAACGACAGTTTGTATTGAAATGAAATTTTGTGAGCATATGTAGGTCAATTCGGAGCACTTTTTAAAAATATAGAGAATTCTACAGGGTGTCCCCCAAAGAAGTTACATATCAAAGTTTTGTTTTTTATAATGGAACACCCTATACATTAATTGATTTTTGTATTCAAAGAGAAAATGAAGGTGAATTTTATGAGAAAGAGAAGGTAAAGAGAAAAGAAAGGCGAAGTATATGACTAAAATGTAAGATTTTCTAAAAAATGAAGAACGAATTGTAAATTTCAATAAAACCTACCTAAATTGGAATTTACCCGGTATAGCATAATATGTAGTTAAAATGACTATTTCACCTCAAATGAAATTAAAACTTTGCCTAAAAAATTATACAGTTTGAGACAAAATTAATATTAAACATTGGTCTAATTTAAAAAAAAGTTACTTTTTTATTTTAAATGGAACATCCAGTATATTATTCCGAGATTCAATGGGGAATTCATGTCTCTTCGAAATATTATTAGGGTTGCCTACCCCTCAAACAATCTAGTTTCCTAGATATTTTCATTTTTATGATTTAGTGTCA